AGTGCACTTTCCATTGACAGGCACAATTCTTCCTTCATCCCACTGAAAAGAGATCGTTCATGGGAAGGTTTGAAGTGAATCCTGTTCACGTTCGTGCGCTTGAACGTGGATCCGTACCTATCATGCATTTCGTCGCAAAACCATTTCCGGTCCCGCCCATTGGTCCATGGTCCGTGAAAGATTCCTTAACTTGCACTCATGTAGCAGAGGCAATCTTTTTTGCTGGTGTGTAAGTTCCATAGTGAAGTAAACACAAAAATGCTGTCCATCATAATGTACAAGAGATTGAGCGCTTTCAAAGTACATCATAACCTTTGAAAATAATCAGCAAAAAATCGAATAGCCAGAAGAAAAATCGGCGGATAATTATTGCTCAACCTAATAATGGCCGTACTCTGGTTGTTGTTGGCGTGCGAATAGAAGCTTTACGTCAATAATTGAAGGAAGTTATTTCAACGCTAATATCAAATAATTTCAGCTTGACTTATGCTTTCTGCCTTCTACGTTCTCATCATGGCCTAATTTGGTTGCTGCTTTGTTTAGCTGTTCAAATTATGAACGGTGCGATACTATTGGAAAATCTTCCACCGGACTACACGAAAATGCCTGCTATAGGTGAGTAGCAATATTTTCGCAGAATGATTTTACTACTGGGTTGCGCGGAAAGTCCCTTCCGATTTTTGAAGCCAACTAAAATTAAAAGTTCTGAGAAGGCTATTTGGTGGTCATGGATAATTAATTTCAACTTTTTGCCCTTTTTGCACTTTGACCATTTTTAACTATTTGGTAATGTACAACTGTTCATTTTTATACCCATCATAAATTGTGGATGGCCTATCGTAGCGTTGTTCTTCATCGAGAGAAGACTCTCCCTGTTGGTATCCTATGAACCAACCTGGCCCTGCTCATTCACTTACAGCATTTTATCCTGGAACAGCGCATGTCTTTCCCGCAGCCGAGCACTGGCTTCATTACAGAACAGTCTTGATGACGTTAATGAGTGCCATTGGTGGTTGAAGCCCTCAGCAAGGTGAATAACGGTCGAGGTATTCCTCGACCATAGCCCAGCACTGTGTGAGAATAGGGATGAGAGTGAATGTAGAGGGCGGAGAGCACAGACGTCTCGCGCGTGCTAAGAATGGATTCACGCGAGATAGCGTGACAGATTAGAAGAAAATCTTCGACGCGTCGCGGAGGAATCCTCGACCGATTTTACGCCCATGAGTGCACTGAGAGTGGGGGAGTGGTCCTTGGTTGCGTTATATGAACTTCCATCAGTGAGGCCCAGTGACGTCATCAAGACTTTTCCACATTCCAGCCACCGTGTTCACTGCATTCTTCCGCTTGCGGTAGGAAATACATCGATGACAACGCTTTGAAATTAGCAGGAAATTGTTTTGCTCCCTATTTCAGGCCTCATTGCAACTCTTGTGCTGTTCGAAACAATATGCTTGATAATATGGCGATTTATCACCGTATATATCACACAGTCATTACCGGATCGTCTTGATTTACGTTCAAAAATTGATCTTGTAGAAAATTTCTTATGTGTGTACTTTGTGATTCGGATTATTCATATTTATATAAAACTTTTCTAAGCTCTGTCAGACTTGCTGAAACTCGCGATATGCGCACGCATGAGGCGCATCGCAGCGCCTGTGCAATCGCGAGGGCAGCTGTTGTGTTGAGCCAACAAAATCACTGCGACCCCCTCCCTCCCTACCCGTCCTTCAAAAGCATGTATATTACATGCAAAACGCGGCTTGAATCTTCATAGGTATTCTCGTTCTTGCTGTTAAACCTGACCCTTCTTTATACATCGGTTCTTCTGAGCTTTGCAGAACTCAACTTGTCAAAAAAAACCTTATTCCAATTTCTTCAAAAATGTCACAACGGGTACGGCCCTTCCGTCAGAAATCACAGGAAACGTAGTAAAACGTAGTTCAGGGGACGGCTTGCCCTGCCCTGTTCTTTGTGGTCCTAACAAGAGGAGCACTTGCTTATAAGATTCACACGGGATTTGCTTGTGCTGCGTGCACTCTGCACTTACTCGCATGAACAAAAACGGTGCCTTGCGGAATTGCAGGTATAAATTAAGCCGTAATAAAAGGTGCAGGTTGATTTATGGGTAATTGTCACGACGGAAAAAGGATTAACAAGGTTAACTCGTTAAGAAACTTAAACTAGATTTTGACTTGACTTAGATCTGTAGTGAAAACGAAATGGAAGGAATTTGCCGAATCGTCAAAATATGGGCTCCCACATTTTTGCATTTAGCTGTGATAAGACAATAAGAGGCTAAGGTGATGGGGTCCGTTCCTCCAAGTAGTGCCACTGGGAATCGCTCACTTTTGTGAGCTGAGCTGATCACGTACACTCGAAACGGGCCGGCCTACGAATATCCACGTCACATCTTTGTGAATGACGTCACGTGATTTCCGAGATAATGCTACGGCGTCCGCGGGAGCCGACGCGCACCCACAAAGCCCAGCGAGTATGGAAAAGTATGCGAGCGTATCCGATGCAGGGACGGCATCGGGGGGAGGGTCAACTACGATAGTCTCAGACTCGCGTTGCGACGTTGAATCTTGGCACGTCAACAAGCCGCTCGTAGGAGTTAGCAGAAGCTCTAGAATGCCGACGGATTGATTTCCGTGCCGTGCAGAAAACGAGGTGGTCCTGCTGCAGATCGAGAGATATCGGCGAGGCTTCAAAGCCGTTCATTGTGGCGGTCCTAGAACCACCAGAGGTGTCGAGAGTTGTTTCTGACTTCTCGCGACTATACAAATATTTTTGTTTCTGACCATACACATATTTTCTTTTATATTTCTTATTTTCCCATTAGCGTCAATTCGACTGATACTGTGATTAACACACTTTCCAAGAGTATGTTTGCTGTATATGGCTTGGAAGTCAAAGAAAGTCCACTCATTATCAAAAAGTGAAGAGACCATGATCTCGTGTTTCCAGAGCCGCTGGTGCTAAAACACAATTTACGTTGTCTCGTAGGAGCAGCGACAACTGTCGGCTTGTCCCGATTTCAACATGTTCACGACTCCCCAACCCCCGTTCGCGATTTCCGCGAATCGCGCAACGGTTCACTGACTCTTGCACCGCCGTACAAGGAAAGCGAGGAAAGCAATGCGCATATATTGAAAATATTTATTGATCTGCAGTCGCTCTACTCGATAAAACCACCCAATAACCGGTATGAGTTATGATTGAGGAAAGTGAAGGCGATCATCGAGATCATTCAAAAGAAACACAGCATAGCGAAAGGCATCAGGATATGATTCAGTTTGACATCTGTTCAACAGGTTGATCGTGAGCTGTCGTGATCTGAGGACGCATCGGATCCATTGGCATCGGAGTACCTGACTCATCCTTGGCTTGCTGGAACAGGCGATGCTTTTGCGTAGAATAAGAGCAAAAAAAGAGGAGCTCATTTTCTTATAGGGAAAAGATGATTACATCTCGATCAACGTAAAGGATGACTTGCCCAGCCTCGGTGTATAAACAGGGGCATGTAGGGCTGGGATACAAGTCGGTGGTTTAACCTCGGAAAAAAGTTCAGAAGTTTGGGACCAACCGACCCAGAAAGATGTATGGCTTGGTAGGCTTGTGCGAGATTCGATCGAGTACAAAGTCTCCTTTCCTGCGTAATATGGAACGCCACCTGCCACTGCACATCTTTACGCACCCCAACCCCCCCCCTCCCTCTTCACTGTACCACTAATAATACAACGAAATGGAAACAAGTGTACTCACATAGGCATTCTGTGGATCGAAGTTGACGTCAATCTGCGTTGTTCTAATATGGAAGGGAAAGTTGGCATTTGCGTGAGAAGGCCACGATATGTACTGAAAGTTCACAATTCATCGTATAGAACCTCAAGTTGATTGACCAAAAGTTCTCAATAAATAATTGTGGATTTATTTTAACACTACAGAAAAACACTTTAAATGTAAACCTTTTCATCGACTAAATGGTCTGTATCACCCTTTCCGTTTTTTCGTTTTTCATCACTAAGATGCTCATGAAATGATACACATCAGGGTGATATTGGTCGAGGACTCTTCAACGACTTGTCTGAGGATTTTCGCCTGAACAGCTACGGCCCCCTGCGCCGACATCACACTCGTCATGCGCGAGCCGTCTATGCTCTCCGCGCGTACGTTCACACTCGGCAGTACTCTCGCACAGCGCAGAGCCCTGCTCGAGGAATTCCTCGACCGTTATTCACCCTGATATCGTAACTGCACTATTAAACTTTGTGCATATATGGGGTTATTTTTATGTAGCTTTGGATTCTCCAGGCTTCCTGCGATTCAATTTTTTTAAAATTTTTTTCGAATTTGTATACAATTGTTAAAGTGATACGCGGCGAACTGGCCGAATGTCTGTTTGGAACTATTCTCAGAAGCGCTCCCTAACTGACACAATCATAACCGACTGCCGTTAGAGCTACTTTCAGAAGTGAGGAAGGGCTAGGATATGGCCTTTTTCAACTGTCGTTAATACTTGTGGATACCTCATATTTTGTAACAGTATGGAATCATTTTGCTCCCTTTCATATAGCTGCAACGTATCGACGGAAAAACCCCATGCCATTCGCTTTGACGACCTATTATGTCCCTAATTACCGTATTATGTTATAATAGATGTCATAATGAGCAGGCGGCTTCAAACGACCCATAATTAACAACAATGATGTTTACCGTGTTCCTAACTGCAGTTCAAAGTACCCTTGGAGGATATACACGTGGCAACAACAGACATTGAAGTGAATGGGAAGTGCTTTAAGATATGAAATGGCGCTCACACAAGCAATTACATGGAAAAATGGTCAAGAATGCGCGCCACGTTTTGGAATGCGCCACGCATTTTACTTTGCTCTCGAATTGTGTTGACTGCTAAATGCCATAAACGGTTTTAATGAGCGATTTCGGATACCATTTCATTTCCCATAAGTTTATACACAACATCTTTCTGCTTGACTTCATTAGATAAACAGACACTTCAGTGTGCAGACACTTCTTTTCTCATAAAGCCGGCTCAGAGCTAAGCTGAGCAAAGCTGAGCAAAAATAGCTGTTTTTTCAGTCACCCTTTCCACTGTGCAACGAGAATTCTCCTAGTATCTGAAGAATCATAGCTAGTTGTCACCTGATCCTTTGCTGGTTGTGTTGTTACCTACTAATATGTGTTTTATCCTTTTTAGGTTCCTTCCGGTACACACTCCTAGTGTGTCAAATATTAACAGTGATTGCGGTTGTTTGGTTGTTTTTTTACATGATCCATTCAGGACATATTATAAATAAATATAAATGAAAACGTTAATGTATAAACTTTTAATAAACCTCCGCCTGAGTACCGTTTATAACCCGTGAATTTTCCTCGTACACGAATACCTAAACGCTTTTAGAAAATTAGTAAATGTTGATTGATAGACCCACGCACTCAAGAATCCTAAAAGCCTTAAAAGCAGTGATCACGATGGGTGGAGGGCGGTGCTGTTTGACGTCGCCCATGAACGTGATTTGTGGAAGGGCGCAAAGAGGCGGTGCCAACCACACTTCAGTGCTCTGAGGGGTCTATCCTACCAATGACGCTATCAGAATCGTGCCGCCCTGCAGTCATTATGACCACTGCCTTTAAGGCTGGAGAGCTTTCTTGCGTGTGATATTGCTTGATTTGTGTTCGATATTGCTCAACAATTCGTAACCGATCTGGCATTTTCTGCACAATAAAGAGCATTTATATGAATGAATAAATAATTGCAGTGGACTTGAAAGTCGGGTAATTACGGTAATCGAGAAAAAGCTTACCAGAAAAACAATGTAGCCGTACGATATGACGCAATTATCAACAATATTAATAACACCTTCTCGTACCCAATTATCTAGCACATAATTAGCTATACAGAGGACGATCGGACCGGCCCAAAACCTGAAATTAGGCACTTCGTCATAGAATATAAGTTAAATGAAGCAATTTGAATAGCAATGACTTGACATTTGTTCCAGGTGCATTCAAATGCAATAAATGCCTATTATAATAAAAATTGTTCAAATTAATTTTGAGATAGGAGTGCATAAACACATTACTGATATACTGAAGCAACACAATAAAAAGCATTAATATTTGGAATTCTCCAAAAGATCACCAACAGCCTTGTGAGAAGAATTCTGGAGCCTCTCGCTAGCATCCTGGGAAGCCGCAATTACACGCATACGGTCGAAGGATCAAGGGAATCGCGCACGAACTTGTTGTATCCCTTCCTTGCACGAATGCATCAAGTGTGATCACCAGTTGCACGGTGCAAGTTCTTTTCACGAAAATACGATTTCCACAGAAATCTCCTCGAAATCGCACTTTCTGGGCGTTCTACAGACACCTGGACGGTGCTAGGGGGTCATGGAACAATGTAGGCGGAAAGCCGGCCAGGTGCGATAGGTGACGCGTCGTAGGAAGGAGGAATTCAAATCCCCAAATTCGGGGAGCAGAGGCAAACCGCGGTCTATCAGGGTGCAAAAAAGAGCGAGACGCCCTGCTATGAGGAAGGCCAAAAATCCTAGTGTGAAAATGAAAAGCGCTCACGAACCTTGGAGTTGCTTCCTCTTCTCAAGGCCTGGTTCTCAAAGCGAGCGCTCGTGTATTCTCTATCTTTCCTTCGCATCATGCCTTAGGCTCAGTCAGTTCTTCTAACAATAAGAGCTGGTACTTGGACGCTTTCTCGCCGAGAGAGTAAACGACAAGGGTTTAGCGTATTGCAGTGAACCGTAGGACTGAAAACCCTAGCAGACACTATTTTCACATATTTTTGATAGATGATTGATGTTTGGACCGCAGTTCACCATGCGAAAGCTACCACAAGGGTTATGGGTCATCGGCGGACAATTTCGTCCCACGGCAGTTGATTCCACAGCTCTGCGGCTGTCTGCTCACGGCTCACTACGTTATAAGTTTGAGCGCTGAGCGGCGCTGGTAAAATGCGCTCAAAAGTTGGGGTAAGGTGGAGCGGTACATGCTGATGTAAAATGGGTCATACATTTGCTAGGAAAGCGAAGGCAAAAGTTCGATTCCCGACTAAGGCGGCTCATGAACCCAGCCACCCTTTTGTTAGCCATTTGTAAATATTCATTGTTTTGTAAACTCGCATCTACAAGAATTTAGTAAAACATGAATCCACAAAAAAATCTATGTAAAAAAGGCTACACCAGCAAAGAAAAGCATTTTAGGAAACACAAATATGCGATATCACTGTAATAATGTCACCTACCACGGCGTCAGAAGAGTAACAAATGTGAAGTAGAACTTTCTCTTCCCTGGATAGGCTCTCTGAGTAAGGTAGGAATTTGTAGTGAAAAAACCCAGGCGACAATTCTCCAACCAGCTAATAGATAGCCTGGTATTGACTCGGATTGAAAGTACACGAGTGCCGGATCGAAGCCCTAAATGCTTAGTATCAACTCTCAGATGGACCCGTTATCATGATTATCATTTTCAGGCGGCATTCCACTGCAGTTTTCGGAGTCTCAGGTGAGATACCGCGCGCAAAATTTGCACCATTCTGTTCTATCCTTTTAAAGGGCCCAATCTTTTGCTGCCATATAGGCGCAGTTCATACTCATTGTATCCGGTAGTCAGGGAAGTCCGCACTACAGCCTCCACAACAAAGGTGACGAGTCCTCAGAGTAAATCTGAGCTAACGCTTCATAGTAATAACTGTAGCTGATGTGTGATCGCTGTGACTAGTAACAATTGATGGAATAGGAATGCAACCAGCTAATCACCAGAGAATTTTTACACGTTGTGGATCCGCCGTCGTTTGTGCTGTGAGGTCTGCAGTGAACATGCACCTAGTTGCCGGATACAATGGGTAGTTACGATTGAAACAGGGTACACTTGAATGGATAGGGGTTCAGCGTTTACAGTTACGGACATACCGGACAACTAAGAGCACCCAGCATTGCTTGCACCTGTCGTCTGAGTATTGCTCGTCTTCTACACCCTCTCGTCCCGAGCCTGTTCTCTCATTCCAACGCGAGGAATTTTAAGACGTAATGTCCACACATTCTCTAGGAATGCGCACCGAATATGCAGAAGGCTTTTCTTTCTAGTACCTCCGGCTCGGATATAATTTCTACAACGTAGTGGTAACAAAATGCGCTTTCGAACATTTTTTAAACTCGTTTGAGAGGTTGGAGAAACCCTGATTGTCACGTCTCAGCTCGATACAATGCTTCCTTGGCGCTGTACTTTTGAGCGCGCGTTACAGAAAAAGCGTCGGAAAAATCGCGGGAGTAAATTGTACTGTTCGGAAATGATTACTCGCATTTCCTTGTTCTCGGGATTGCACTTAAAACTTTGAACATCCGAGCTCCAGCGAGGACAAGCACGGTAACAATAAGGCAAAAACTGTGGAGAAAATGTAATCTACAAAGGTGCTACTCTACTGAGTCTAGTCGAGACTCCCCCTTTCGGAATACAGGGGGAGGTCAATCATCCGCCATCAGTTCAGTCGAACTCGAAAAGGCCTAATCGCTCCGGCCTAAAGTAGCTATCGAATTTCTTCAATCGATTAGGCAGTTTCGTGGAAGAAGTATTTCTAACTATGCGAGAACCTGGCTGACTAGTTCTCGACAACGTAGTAAGTGCCCTCGACCCAGCGAGGACCCCTTTGAGCTCGAACCTTGCCTACGCTCCCACGGCAAATTCCTCGGTGTCATCTGTGTGGAGGCTACCACGAAGATGTTATCCGTATATCTCTTGCAGTTCCAATGCATTTGCAAACCAGCAAAGCCCCTCAATTCCACTTACCTTGATTTCCCAGAATAGCATTCCTATATAGGACGTGATAAAGAAGGATGCTAAACAGAATAGCGTAATATTGTACAACCTAAAATATAATCACCTATAATCACAGTAGCCGTTTGTCATTTATAGTCAGTTACAGTAGACCTTTTCATACAGGATTAACGGTATAATCCGCTCTGCAGGTGATGTAGTGCAAAGATGTGACATTTTTGCCATTATTGAGAGAATTTCTATTTATTATCGAGCTCCAAAACCGAGATATTGCAATTACCGTCCAACAAAACGAGAATCGTTGGGTACAGACTATGCGCCACAAGTGACGACGGCCTCCAAGTAAATCTGGTTAGTGGTGGTTCATAGTGATAGCTGATTTTTGGTAAATGCTAGGTGGAATTAGTAACAACTGATAGAATGTGTACAACTGCAACAGACTAATCATTTCATTGGCAGAAACCGTATACATTTTGTGGGGCCGTCGTCACTTATGGTGTATTGTCCGCACCCGACGCTCTTTTCGTTTTTTGGAAGGGAGATAGATGTATAACAATAGCAGGTTGGTGCATCATTTTTTCTTCCGAATTCCGTAATGGCCAGGATATTTCGGTCGCTTTCAAAGCTATCAAGAATATTCTACGATAGTGAGAACATTGTCAAACCTTATAAAATATGACTATAAAGGAAGTTGGGTTGTTTTCTAATTGACATTCGCTTCGAGTAGGCAAGCGCAAATCTGAGCCGTTTGCCTCTACGAAGGAAACTTGGCACCGGTCAAACAAAAGTCTCAACAAGCATCTGCGCTAAATTTTGCATTTTTTTCCACTACGAGACGCACTGCAAGTGGAGAAGCGCTTCGACAATGGCGACAGCAATGCGGAAAATTTACCTCACCAAGTCTGTGAGCCCGGTCATTGGTGAAGAAGCTCTACGAAAACTGCACTCAATTCAGCAAACGGCTCAACGTTCTCAAGCCTTTTTCATAATTTTTCATGATTTTTCATAATGATGATGTGTTGTATTTTTTATCCAAGATTGAACTCAGTAATCTTTTAAGAAAGTGGAACTTATGTGGATGCACCAACCTGGTTGTGAATTTGCTGTTCTTGAGCGTTTTTTAAAATCTGTTACAATAAATCTACGCATGAATCATAAACTTCTACGAAACGTTATGGAAAAATTTACTCACTTTTGACAGCTTCATTTTGGTCACATTCTGACCTCTACCGAGCAGCAGTACCATAAATATGAAAAACATTTGGGCAAATCCCCTGAAATTTTATTTTTGGTGGCATTTTTCGCACAAAGAAAGGAATAATTGAGACGAAGCCAGTGTAGATATTTTCTGGCATAAAAAAAGTACTAGAATTGTACTTTGCAATGATATTGATTTGAGCCTTGTGGAACAGGAAATAAAGCTCAACTTCGAATGTTTTTCAATAAATTGCTCGAACAGGATTTCTTCAGGAAAACGAACCCTCCACGTAAATCACCTGTATATTGTTTAGCAGCCTACTGGTGTTAATCGTAGATGTCTCCTGTACTTTTCCCATTCCACTAAGCTTATCCTTTCAGGAACATATTTTATGATCACTACATAGGTAATTTCTTTGATCGAAAACGAAGAAGAATTGTGACGTTAATGGACAGTGGGGAAAAATAAAAAGAAACCGCCACCAAACAAAAGAGGGGCATACTTTCCTACAACGACAGACCAGTCTACGAGTTAGACAGCCCTGCGAGATGCTAGGAACCGTAAGCGAAACTGGACGCTGAAGCGACAGAATTTACTCCGAGACGAGAGAGCATAAAGAACGAGCGAGACGCAGACACTCCATTGCGGGGAGTGTTCGTAACGAGCAATAATATAAGCGTCCAAAAATCAGTAACTCCCTTTTTTAGTCGCTTCAACTTCAGTGACCCCCTTACTCACCCTGCCAGCTCTATGACAAGAGAAAAGAAATTTCTATTAAGTGCATCATGTGTACTTGAGATGATATACAAATTACTACCCCACTTAATAAGTCAGCTCGATTATTCAAGAAAGAAAATAAAAGAAGAAGAAATTATTCACCGGTGAAGATCAAATTACAGCCGCTTACGGACGACTGTGACTAAAATACTGATGAGGGCAAATGAAACTACCATCATTCAAATTTGAAATGAGGATACGGAACATTTTCGAAGGGTCACGTGCACTGATATGAAAAAACGCACCGAAACAACTGCGCCATGAGCTTTAAGAATGGAAATCCAATTCCATCGAGCGCGTAAGCACCATAAGTGATCACCATCATTGATAATCCGCAAACATCCAAAAGTATTGATTGTGTAGAGATACGGTATGTGTTGTGGTAGAGACGACGGAAGCTTAGCTGGCCTGAAAATGACAAGGAATGCTGCCGTTCAAACACAACTCATTCAACATTTCCAAAACACATCTGGGAATTCTGTTTGCCTTTCTCGGGAAGTTGATAGCTTCAGCCCTCGTACTAATAGTTTTAGCTACATCATAGCCCCATAACTCCTGACTGTTACTGTTCCCCCTCTTCAGCCCAGTCTATCGGATGAGAATTTTGACTTCCCATGGGAGTTCAAATGAGCCCTACGTATATTGTTCTGAAGGAATAGTCAAAATTCAAATTGTTTCAGAAATAGTGTTAGTAGAGTCCAAAGGGTACGCACAGGAAGCCTGCCGCGCGGCAAGACGGCGGAGTCAGCTGACGAGTTGCAGCGCGTGCTGTGCGAAGTAGGACGTGCAATGGTATATTCTATTTAACTTGACGTGAAATCACTACAGTACGCGCTGCGATTCGTCAGCTGCTCTGCCTTCTTGCCGCGCGACGGGCCCCCTGTCAAGTGTCAGAAGTCCAAATTATGGGTATGAGGTTCGGGTTTGGCGTAGAAGCCGGTGGTACCAGTTTGCCATCACTTTTTTCCTGAAGAAGTCTATAACCTCACGAACAGGGTTCTCGATGATTCAGATCACGAAAATGACACCCGCTTTGGCACTTTTGGTTCTTTTTTCCTCATAGAACCCTCATTGGATGTAAAGTACAACGTGCAAAAATGACGCACCACCAGGGACCAACCCTTAACCTAGCGCCTGTGCAGCGAAAGCCGCGGTTTCTGCATAAGCTAGCTTGTCTTGCAAACAGAGTCAACCCTGCGTTGCGCAGTTCGCAACGGCACGTTGAGAGATCCTCAACGCACACTGTATGGGCGGAGACGCAGACGGCTCGAGCGTGCGAGTGTGAATGAACGAGAGAACGTGTCTAACCGGGCGAAACTGCGCAACGTGGCAGTTGAGAACTGCGCAACGCAGGGTTGACTCTGCTTGCAAACATTCTTTCGCCATTTTTGAAGGTTCCCCGCATTCTTAAAATGTCCAAGTAGCTGTAGTTGTGGTGTCGATATTTGTAATCGGCCTTCCAAACTATCGATGTAGCTACATAAGTCCCCTTTCGAAGTTTAATGGAAAGTAAAGCTTAATCTGTTTAGCTTGATCAAATTGGTATGAGAGCAGAAGCACCTATTCAAAAATCGGCCAGCTCCAGCGGGACGGTCGAATGCGTAACGAATACCAAAAATGTGTCTATCTTAATTCGGTTNCATTACAGTAACCACAACTACAAGCAATAAAATATAGAAGTCATTTACAGTTCCTGTGACGAAATTTCGAGGGATACGGCGCTGTAATCGTAAAGTAAAAGCTGATGATTATGCTGAGGGTTCATCTACCGTTTAAGGGCATATGGGGTGTGGTTCACAAGGACAGAAAGCGACATTTTCGCATTTCGCAGCAGAAACATTTTCGCTGCGGGACTCTCGTGTGGTCAACGGAGGACCTAACTTTCCGGCAGTGAAAAACCTTTCGCGCTGCGGCACGCGAAAAAAGTCGTTTTCTGTCCTAGGGGACCACACCCGGGCATATCTTTTGCATGGAACTAGCAATTCTTGTTAGAGCATTCAACATACGACTTCCGCAAGGCCCAATTTTCAGACACAGTGAGCATTTTTTTCTAGAAATTGAATTCTGTAAACAATCTCACATCCAATAATGTAGTTGACGGTGAGCAGTGCGCATTGTATCAGAAGAAAGAACACATCGGTTGGCAGTATCACTGGAAAGAATGCATTTTTAGTTTGTTTGAGCTTTCAGTAGATCCAATGATCTATTGTAGTAATAGCGGATATGATAAATAACCAGGAAAATAAAACAGTTCATGAGAAGAGCAGCCACAGATGCTAATACTCTATGGCATGAGAGCTTTAGTGAAGTCGATTTATCTGTTTATTTTTATTTATTTTCTCTCAAATTCTGTCACAGCCTTCCTAAAAACGCTATGTTCATTCTACCATAAGGCCTATGGCAGAAAACTTGGCACACAAAGCTCACTTTCTCTATTGTTGATTATGTCTGATTATTTTCACTCATCAGTATTCTGTACAACATACTCTAACGTGTGAGCTAGCCCATCCCTTTGGACAAACACAAATTTCTGCAGCTCGCGAAACATGGAACAATGGATGTCATCCATCTCAATCTCCGACCTCATACAAAGGCTGTCCATTCGTTTCAGTGTTATAGCTCGTTTTCAAAATTGACACAGGTGATTCATCATGATTTCCATAAAACGTGAGCGGACTATTCTTTCGTAACACTTGCAACAACTGAAAAAATAGCTGTGAGTCAGGAGCTGGTATGCTTTTTTTCACTCCTGAAATTCTCTGTTTGCTCGGAAGGACAGTCGTCAGAAGTCAAAGAAAACGGATTCGAAGGGCACATTCCACGAACAAAGAATGCGGCTGAAGAGACACTGTGTGCCGCGGCGAGAGAAGTGACGAGCGAAACGAGAGAGTTTCGCAGTCATTGAGAATCAGGTATCCTACTGCCTAAGCAATTGCGTTGTGTTAACAAAAGTAGCCTAGTGACAAGGCGTTAACTCCCTTGCGGTGGACTTTAGCGGAAACAGCACATTTTGTACTTTTGCAAAAAGCTACGCCTTAAATGCTCAAATCCACTCAAGCCTAATTAGGAAATGAGCTTGTGAAGTCCGCTATTTCTATCACTTTATTTAGTGATAAAAAATTTTGGCACTATTTTCCCTTGACTGCTCGAGCACTGAGCCGGGTTTTTATCGAAAATTGTCCATGACGGTGGATTTGGCTAGAAACTTGCCTTCAAGGGTATTTCGACCCGTAGAACACGAATATCACATTCGTTTACCGCTAGAACACCTGGCGCTCGCGCTAGAAGCGCCGGCGTCAAGAGGCGCAAGAACATCTCGCATCACCAATTTCATTGGAAACTTGTCTTCAGAGCGTACTGTTGAATCTCGGGTTGTAGAATACGCGAAAGGTGATAGATTTCTCTCACGTGTGTGCCTCCGTTTGACGCTTCGGCCGGGCGAGCTGACTTCCTAGGTGAGCCGACGCCGTACTGGGCGCGACAGTGTGTCGTTACCCCGCGCGAAACTGCTGTAATAGCGACGGCGCCTGTGGCGCTGGCGGAAAGCGTTGTCGCGCTAAGCCGGTGTGATATTTGCGTTCTACTGGTCGAATCACCCCAGAAGGCAAATTTCTAGCCAATTCTACAGTCATGGACGAATTTCGATCAAAATCCCGGTCAAATCTCGAGGAATGGGGCAGTGAAGTGTAAATAGTGCCAATGAATACAACCATTATCACAGTATTGGCGCAAACAAGTATTAGAATGAAGCGAGGGAATTTGTTCCTGTGTTGACGTCTACAAGGATAACAGTCTTAGAGTTTGCTATTCTCCTCTAATTTGCAATCCGTCTAGAGTTAGAAGAGTACGGTATTTGTAACTTTTGAGGGGGGTCGTATCTGGGGTTCATAGGGAGTGACAGCATCGAATGTTGAATGTTACACAGGGGAGTCCTTTTTTACGATTGAGGGGCATTTCTTTTACGAGTTTTACCAAAAATACACAGATGTACTGGAATGAAAAGAGAGCTTGCTGCTTCAGGAGCTGTATCTATCCTCTCCAATCGAGAGCAGCACTAAAGGAATTCTGGGGACGAAGCTGGAATTTATTGAGGAGGAATGCTCCATGGAATAGCTCACCAGCGGCGCGCACTGAAGCGCGTGCGGATCACGTAACTGTCAGAGAACAAGAGGATGAGCTACAAGCAAGGATCGGTCAAAATAGTTCGATACATTAATAATACATGCTTCAATTCAATTGGGCAGTGAGTAGAACAAACGACGGGGAATGGACATGTCGTAACTCTGAGTTAATTGCTCACATTTTAGGGTTTACACATGAAAGCGGTGATTTCCTCCACATTCTCAGGGAATTCCTAAATTCCAAGCGCGAGAATGGTACCTATACGCAGCAATTTATTCTGCTCGCACAGTACTACTGATTGCACTGGTTCGTAAGGTTTCACCAACCCTTTCATTATCGAGCGAAGTGGCAGCGACGCTGTCTGTCTTGCATTCTCTTCGTACTTGTTGCAGCTGTGACGTCCAGGCACGCCTGCGCCGTCGCATCGCTGGGGAGCATTTCCCTCCCCCCCCGAATTCAATCTGTGACACTTTCGGAGTGTGTAAAGCTGGGGTCGCATTGGTATATCTTTCAGGGGGGGGCGGGAGAAATGTTCCAAAATTCTGACGTTTGACCCTGATCCTTTCCTTTCCCTCCATATAATGCGCGAGTTATAGCCCACAGTGCAGTTCAGCGGAGGAGTACATCAAATGGTGTACTTGTGATCGCAAGACAGCAACACCATACCCGTGTCTTGCTACCTAGCCATCAACTGAATTGCCACTCCATTTGTTAATTAAACACCGGCCCACAGGTGCTATTCATAGGGGATTTGATTTGTTCCAGCTGTGTTTAATGTCCTCACAAATCATCCTCATAAGTTCAAGATTTCAAACTTAGGGGGACTGAACATAATTTTGGTAAGCGGATAGGTACTTCTTCAATCTACTTTGCTTCCAAGTCTTCGAAATACTTTTTTCGAGATTCACTTCTCTGATACAGAGCCTACTCCGACAGCACAGGTCCGACAGTTCAGGCCTGTTCTTCAACCACGATTGATCCACTTTTCAGTCGCATTTTCCAGCGGTATACAATACACCAAGCAAATGTCAAAGAGATGATGCAAGATCCTGTCAGCGCGACACTGAACGTCCCATTCAGCCAATTTTGAGCCGTTGAGATGCTCGCTGTATGTCCTCGAACATCGCATCAACCCCTATTCTTAAAGACGGCAGCTTGGAGTTTCCCTGCTTCTCTACCTTTAAACGGTTCAATCCGCTACGAGGATTTCTAAAACCACTTCTGACCATTCATTCTGTTACCCAGCCTTCGCTAAACGCTTCATTAATTTTTACGGTCGTCCCGTTTCTTCGCAATCCAGTTGGAACTTTTATAAGGAAGTCGCTCAAAACTAGTTTTTCTTTATAGCAATTCCAGTTGCGAAGTGTTGTAAGACCAAGAACCTCCTCATGATACAGAACAATTAAGGCGACGTTACGGAACAAGGCATGGGAAAATGTGCGATATCCCAACAAATACCTATTAACTGCGGATAATGACTTTGTAGTGAAATCGACTGCGAAGACTTCGGTGGACGTTTCCTTAACATGACTCATGAAGGAGGTTGTTGCTATTTTCGTAGCCGCCTGTTTTTGAAAGCTGAAGCTGTGATGAAGAGACAGCCCGTTAGAAACGGAGAGGCAGTGGTGCAGGGATGAAGAAAATCATAAGGAACGGTTCAGAACCCGAGAAATGGGACCCATTGCCCACTGTTTTCCACGATCCAGATTCACATCGGCTCCCCTCTTCAACGCTAACGCTTTCTCTTCTTAAGGGCTAGAGACCTGCGGTGAGTGGTTATCCACTGGGTGGGCGTTCCGCGCCGATAGCGCCGCGGGAGGACCATGTTAGGTGTTGAGGGGTGTCCAATCCTTGCGGGAAATTGCGTAGTCCGCATCTTCAGGGGATTCAAGTGTCTTTCCACTTTTAGCTTCTCGAACTTTCATATTTTCGTAGAATTTCCCTTTAAGGTACACGGAGAGCCCTATATTTTTTGTTCAAAGCTTTCGTAAGAAAAAAGATCCAATTACCGGGCTCTCAGAGGCTCTAGTATTTGTTTGACATCTTCAGGGGATCGATTCGGTGACAGTCTTGCCTAACGGTCATCACAAAACTGCGCGACGGCACACCTGGTCTTCAATTCCTCGGCTAATGCGGTTGCTCCCTGATCTTTTACCGTTGACGGACTTCGAAACTCCAGATTCTCTTCTGCACTTGCGTGTACAGGGAAGCCTCAAGAATCGTAGCTCCGCAACGCGTTAGATAATATTGGCCACATGCCCACCTGCAGCCTTCGAGTTCGATTCTTTGAAATCATAAAGGCTTACCCCGGGATAGAATGGAGCAATGCAAGAGCATTCAATGATGACGTCGGCGGTGCAGGGTGATTTAAAAATATCTGAACACACAATATACCGTCGATTATGACATGGACCCCCTCTCCTTCAGCCAGCATTCCACCTTGCAAAGAGGATGAGCCGTGCTCGGCCGAGTCTTCCGCAGTTTTTCCACAGGGCCACATCAATCGCTCTCTTTCCATCTTATCTCTTATTTTGAAGTTTTATCACTAGCTACGTCGTGATCCACATTGCGTGTAGCTGCAGCCGTAATCGCTTATCCTTGCAACACCCGCGGTGGGCGTGGAGGGCTGCATGGGGAGTGGATAGTTCCAGCTCCCTATTAATAGCGCCCTACCCACGCATTATAAGCAGCGAAGGTGGATGACCTCTGCGCATACGTTGCAACCTGGAAATTATTGGCAAGCTTCCTACTAGAAAGCCTCATCCCGAGGCTTGTCCTTAGGGCAGGAAGGATTGTAGAATCTAGGGAAGCTTGAAGTCCGATTGTCCTCACACCCAACACCACTACCTCGACGACCGAATTTCCCATCCCGCTCCTTGCCTTGTGCTCAGCTCCTAAGCTCAGACGCACGCACGTACCCTCAGCATTCTGAGATGCTCTTTTCGATGAGCGTGAATGGGGCGTCAAAATGTAGCCCGTTTCTCATAAACTTTGTCTCGTTAGATCCGTTCAGGCGACCTTTTCAAAA